TTTCTGTTATGAGTTTCTGTAGCTTTGCTACAAAGGACATGGATAGTGGTCTCCTCCTATCTGCAGTTCCCCTTCCTGTGATTTCAATTACCTGCAGTCAACTGCAATCATAAAATAGTAAGTGGAAAATTCCAGATAGAAATAATTGGTAAGTTTTAAATTGCTCACTATTGTTTTTAAAAAGTTTTAACTTTATTTATTTGAAAGACAGAGAGACAGTGAGAGAGGGGGAGACAGAGCTCCTATCCGCTGGTTCACTGCTCAGATGACTGCAACAGCCAAGGCTGGACCAGGCTGAAGTCAGAATCCAGTTCTTCCATTTGGGCGGCAGGGACCCAACTTCTGCTGCCTCCCAGGGCGTGCATCAGTAGAAGTAGGAGTCAGAAGCCCATGTTGGGACTTAAACCCAATGCTCTGGTGTGGGATGCAGGTGTCCCAAGCAGTGCTTTAACTACTGCATGAAACATGTGCCTGAGCTGTGTGCACTGTTCTGAGTAGCGTGATAGAAGTCTTGCTGTTCACCCAGGATGTGAATCAGTCCTTTGTCCAATGTATGCATGTTGTATACTCTATCCATCAGTCATTCAGAAGCCATCCCCACGGGGCCAGTGCTGTGGCATAGCAGGTTCAAGCCGTGGCCTGCAGCGCCGGCATTCCATATGGGTGCTGGTTTAAGTCCTGGCCGCCCCACTCCAGTCCAGCTCCCTGCTAATGTGCCTAGAAAAGCAGGGGAAGATTGCCCACGGACTTGGGTCACTGCTACCAACGTGGGAGACCTGGGAGAAACTCCTGCTGGCTCTTGGCTTTGGCCTCGCTCAGCCCTGCTTGTTACGGCCATTTGGTGAGCAAACCAGCCAATGGACGATCTCTCTCTCTCATCTCTCCTTCTCTCTTTGTAACTGTGCCTCTCAAATAAATAGATAAATAAATAAATAAATCTAAAAAAAAAAAAGCCATCCCCACAATGGGATCAGTTGTTGTGACAGCACAATGTAGTGCCTGAGTAGTCCTTATTTTATTTAACAATGGCCCCCAAAGCAGAGGAACCAGCCAGGGAGGCACCAGGGTAAAAGACATTAACTCTGGTACTGTGTGGCAATGCCATAGGTAAGACAGGGAAACTCAGTATATAGAGATAGTAAATGGTACTATCCAGAGTTTGAGGTAGTCACTGGAGGTCTTGGAATATATCTCCGAGGATAAGGGGAACTACTGTTTTATATGTACTTTTTTTAAAAAGATTTATTTTATTTGTTTGAAAGACAGAGTTACAGAGAGAGGTAGAGACAGAGAGAGAGGTCTTCTATCCGCTTGTTCACTCTCCAGATGGCTGCAATGGCTGGAGCTGCGCCAATCCGAAGCCAGGAGCCAGGAGCTTCATCTGGGTCTCCCATGCCGGTGCAGGGGCCCAAGGACTTGGGTCATCTTATACTGCTATCCCAGGCCAAGGCAGAGAGCTGGATTGGAAGAGGAACAGCCAGGACTAGAACTGGTGCCCATATGGGATGCCGGCGCTTCAGGCCAGGGCATTAACCCGCTGCGCCAAAGCACCAGCCCCTTATATGTACTTTCAAGAACGATGAAGTTTGAGATAAACGGACTTCAGTACCTGTATAAGCACATAAACCCATGGATGTTGACAACTAGCCCTGCAAGGTCTCCATCATCTGCCCCTACCTATCATCCATCTGCCATTCTCTTGTCTCCAAAAGTTTCTAGACTGCTCCTGAGTACAGCACACCACAAGTGACCTCTCACATTCACCTTGAACTTCGTGCTGGTGTTTCTTGGCCTGCAAAGCCCATGTTGTGCCTGGTCAGAGCATGTCCAGGCCCCAGGGGTCTTTCAGCATCCTGGCCTTCCACAAACCCTTTACTGAGAACATGAGCCAACACCCTTCTCAGGATAGCCAGCAGTAGTGTTCTTTCATTGACTGTAACTTCACCCCTTACATAATTTAATATATGGGTTCCTCATAAAGGTCATGTGAATACATATTATAAAAAGCTCTGCACGGAGTTAAAAAATTTTTGCACTAAAATAAAGTTACTTAAATTTTTTTTTAAAAGTTATTTACTTGTGAGACAGAGAGAAATAACCAAAGATAGAGAGAGCTCCAATCTGCTAGTTCACTCCTCAGACACCCACAATGACTGGGGCCAAAGCTGGGAGCTGGGAATGCAATCCAGGTCTCCCATATAGGTGGCAGGAGCCCCATAATTTGAGTCATCGTGGCTGCCTCCCAGGGTCTGCATTAGCAGGAAGCTGGAGTCAGAGGTGAAGTGAGTACAGAACCTGGTACTCTGATGTGGAACAAGGGAATCTCAACTGCTAGGCTAAATACTCGCTCCCTAAAATTATCTTTTTTATTTTTATTTTTGAAAGGCATAGAGGCTGGCGCCGCGGCTCAATAGGCTAATCCTCCACCTAGCGGCGCGGGCACACCGGGTTCTAGTCCCAGTCGGGGTGCCGGATTCTGTCCCGGTTGCCCCTCTTCCAGGCCAGCTCTCTGCTGTGGCCCAGGAGTGCAGTGGAGGATGGCCCAAGTACTTGGACCCTGCACCCCATGGGAGACCAGGAGAAGCACCTGGCTCCTGCCATTGGATCAGCGCGGTGTGCCGGCCGCGGCGGCCATTGGAGGGTGAACCAACAGCAAAGGAAGACCTTTCTCTCTGTCTCTCTCGCTCACTGTCCACTCTGCCTGTCAAAAAAAAAAAAAAAAAAAAAAAAAAGAAGAAAAAAAGAAAGGCATAGAGACAGAGAAAGTAAGATCTATCATCTGCTAGTTTACTCCCCAAATATTTAGAACAGCTAAGGCTAGGCCAGGCCAAAGATAGGAGCAACCCAGGTCTCCCATGTAGATGACAGGGACCCAAGTACTTAAGTCATCATCACTTTCTGCCGCCCAGGGTAGCATTAGCAGGAAGCTGAAGTCAGAAGTGGAGCTGAGACTTGAATCCAGGTACTCCAATATGGGATGTGGGCATTCCAAGCTGCATCTTAACCTCTGTATCAAAACTCTGCCTCTCCCCACCCCCAAACTTATCTTTCAGTCCAATTAGTCAGTTACTTCTGCTATTTCTGTTAGCACCAACTTTCTAAAGTCCCCTCACAGAATCTGGATTTTCTCGTCTATGTCTTCCCTTGCCAGAAAGTCTGCCAGTAGACAGTAAGGACTGCCTCTTGACAGGGCACGCACCCCACAGCACCTGCAGCTTCATGGATGCTGAGTTACAAGAAAATATACTCAGAAGATTTATGCTGATAAAATAGGATGCTTGCAAAATACGGCTGGAGCCATCTCCAATGCTTACTTAGAGCGTTGACTCACTCAACAAGATTTTAAATCAGTCACCAAGTATCGAGTGCTCACATATCTGCATGTCAAGAGGCATAATTTATACATGATGGCTCGATGGGCTGTCTGTCAACCACTTTTTCTTTTTTTTCCTTAAGTTTATTTATTTGTTGGAAAGGCAGAGTGACAAACATATATATATATATATATATAGAGAGAGAGAGAGAGAGAGAGAGAGAGGGAGAGAGAGAGAGAGAGAATATCTTCTATACACTGATTCCACCAAAGCCCACAGCAGCCAAGACTGGGCCAGGTGGAAGCCTGGAGCCAGGAGCTCTGTGTGAGTCTCTCCTGTGAGCAGAAGGGATCCAAGTACTTGAGCCATCATCTGCTGTACCCCACCTCCCCGCCCCGGCCAGGGTGTCCATTAGCAGGAAGTTGTATTGGGAGTGCGGGGGGAATCAATCCCCAGGTACTTAATACAGGAAGTGGGTTTCCTAAGCAATGGCTTAATCTGCTGTACAAAATGCCCGCCCCAACCACCTGGATTTATCTTTGGAAACCATAGCATTATCTTCTCTTGGGCCTCTTTCATAAAGGGCAGAGGCCACTTGCACTGAGGAAAAGAACCTGGCCATCCTCCCCTTCTCTGGTTTGGTCAGCTAAGCCTAGAAAGACACTGGGACAGACCAGGCATCCTGCTCCCTACTCCAAAGCAGGCTACCATGCGCAAGCTGAGCCAGGACACAAAGGTCCCACGGGAATCTGTTAACATCACCAGTACTCACTGCCATGATCCACTGCCTTCACACTGATGGTGCCAAGTGTACTTTTCAAAAGCAGTATTCTACAACTCTCCACTTCCTAACAGTAATGACCATTTTAATTAGTTACTAATAGAACTCCTGTGGATTTATGGTTTGAGCAAATAAAGCTTTAATCTCCTTAAGCATTTAATTATTGGCTTTTGAAAGGCATTACATTGTGGGTAATAGCAACTACTCTCTTGACTGCAGTGAGGACATGGAAAGAAATTTGGGAAATCGCTTTTATCCTTTTAAAGTGTTGCTTTTCTATATAATTCTTGCATCCTGCTAGAAATAAATGAGAAGAATGGACACTGTCAAAGAGGAAGTTTACCCAGAATAATGCTAGATAATGGGACCTTCAAGGTACTTGTCAAAGGGGATGGTTGATAAACATAATTGTGAAGACATTCAGAGATTAAAAAGAAAAATCATAAAAGAGAGTGTTATGATAACATTTAAACATGTGCTAAAAACGTTAAAGTATGTATTCACATCTGGGAAACTGTTTAGAACATGACTCAAAGAAGCCCCAAACCAATTCTTTCTGATATTTCTGTTGGCACCAAGCTAAAGGTATTTACTTCATCTTGCCTGCTATTTCCCTCAATAACAGCATATGAATTTCCTGTTTTCATAGGACATTTTAAACCAAAGGGTTAATCACCAAGAAATGGATGGTTCCCTTTTCTCATCTGGACTTTTGCTGGGAATGGCGTAACAGATTTAGAGTCTACACAGTTTAGTCTCAAAGTCCTCATGAAATCTTCATCACAATAATGTCACATGTCAATGTGTGAGGGGTAAAAATCTGATTTCAGGTTTAATCAAAGAAGAAGCAGGAAGGGAGAAGGGACCCAAACTGCAGGGCCAGACCTGCCAGCGGTGCCACCTACCTCCTGCCGCTCCACATCCATGTTCCAGACGACAATCCCGCCATCACCGCCACATGAGATGAGCTGTCGCGTGTGCTGTGCGTAGGACAGAGCCTGGACTTTGTCACTGTGAAAGAAACCAAGGTCAGCCACAACGAGGACAGCAGCTGGAAGCCGGATGGCAGAAATCCCAGCAGAAGTGGCCAACACGCACACTACTCCTGAGCCCCATGAGTGGGTCTTAGAAACCTGGTGGAATTTTCAGAATGCTCATGGGACGGAGTCTCCAAGATTCAAAATAAGTCTGAACGGTCTGGTCCTCTCACTTGCTAAGGCTGAGAAGAAGACTGAGGTGCCCACTAGGTTTTCCTGCCAGAGCCAGGTCCACCGTGCTACCATGAGGCTTAGCTCTCATGATGACTTAAGCCCAGGCCTGTCTTTTCTTGTCTCCCAGAGTGAATCCAAAGCGGTCATAGACTTGAATTTCACTGACTCTGTTTCTGTAGCTTTTATTTCTTCTCCTGATTTTGTGTCTTTTCTTTCCAGTTTGGACATTACTGACAAGTTATTCCTTCTTAGTGGCAGAAACGGTGGAGAATTCAGTTTTATGGCTGACAATTTGGTGATCACGACCAGTGGATAACAGACCTCAATTGTCTCTCAATAGGGCATTGGTTTCTTGGTTGTTTTTCTTTGTATGCTTGTCCATTTTTAGCTCAAATCAATTAAGAATTTTGTATCTACTGGGAAGAATAGCCCTTTGGTGATTTTTTTTTCTTGGGGGGTGGGGTATGTGTGTGTTTCTTTATTTCTTCTTGACTTGTGACTGAAAGTAAAGCTAAAGCTATTAAACAGTTGTATATCTCCATGTCTACAATCTGGATAGGGCTTTGTTTCTTGTGTACTGGATGCTTTCCTATTACCACAGGGTGTCCATAAATTAGATTATACACTTTCTACATTAAAATAACTCATTTGTATTGGTTTATAGAGAAACAGGTGTCTACATATGTAGAATACTCCTAAAATTCACAGAAAATAGAGATATTGAACCTTTAATTTTTTTTTAAAGATTTATCTATCTTGAAATAGTTCAGAGAGAGAGAGAGAGAGAGAGAGAGAGAGAGAGAGATCTTCCATCTGCTGGTTCACTCCCCTGATGGCCGTAACAGCCAGGGCTGGTTTAGGGCAAAGCCAGGGGCCAGGAGCTTCTTCTGGGTCTCCCATGTGGGTGGAAGGGGCCCAAGCACTCCAGCCATCTTCTGCTGCTCTCCCAGGCCATTAGCAGAGACCTGGATCAGAAGTGGAGCAGCCGGGACTTGAACCAGCACCCATATGGGATGCCAGCATCACAGGCAGCCGCTTTACCAGCTATACCACAATGTCAGCCCCTTCTAACATTTTAAATGTGCCAGATTTAAAATAAAAATCTTTTTTTTTCCTGGAAACTGTGAACCAACTCAGTAACATTTTAAGAATCCAAGTTCAGGGGTCAGTGCTGTGGCACAGTGGGTTAACGCCCTGGCCTGAAGCTCCGGCATCCCATATGGGCGCCAGTTCTAGTTCCGGCTGCTCCACTTCTGATCCAGCTCTCTTCTATGGCCTGGGAAAGCAGTAGAAGATGGCCCAAGTCCTTGGGCCCCTGCACCCACGTGGGAGACTGGGAAGAAGCTCCTGGCTCCTGGCTTCAGATCGGCACAATTCCAGCCGTTGCGGTCAATTGGGGAGTGAACCAGCGGATAGAAGACCTCTCTCTCTCTGCCTCTCCTTTCTGCATGATTCTGACTTTCAAATGAATAGGTAAATCTTTAAAAAAAAAACTAAAGAATCCAAGTTCATTCAATTAGTCTCATTCATCAAAGGAGACTCCCATGATAGATTAAAAAATAAAAGACCAGCTATGTCTTTCTTTGACTTTTCAGTGTTAAGTTTAATACAAGCATATAGGTTTTTTTTTTAAAACTGGATTTATTTTTATTAAATTTACATCCTATGTTATCCTATAACTGGTCAGATAAGTTCATATTACTCCTAAATGTTTAAGGTTATTGAATATATAAATTTGTGATGTTTCATTAAATTGTTACAATATACTCTTTATATAAACAGTAATTATATATTCTAGTATATCATCTTAAAGATAATTTCTAAGATCTTTAGGTAACCTAAAACAGACTAATATTAACTTGAGTGAACTGAAAGATAACCATTTGGTACCTAGATAATTTCTAAGTTAGAGCACTGAAACTTTGATTATAACATATGATATTAAATTTATGTTTGCTTCTTATTTCTTCACCCTGTAGGGACGCTATTCCTTTGGGTCTTATCAATGGTTGAATTCATTTCTATCCATTTTAAGGGTATGTAAAAGCAGTATATTTGAGAGAAAGAGTTACAGTGAGAGGGAGAGACAGAAAGAAAGGTCTTCTATCTGGTGGTTCACTCCCCAAACGGCTGCAGTAGCCAGAGGTGTGCCGATCCAAAGCCAGGAGCCAGGAGCTTCTTCCAGGTCTCCCATGTGGGTGCAGGGGCCCAAGGACTTGGGCCATCTTCTACTGCTTTCCCAGGCCATAGCAGAGAGCTGGATCAGAAGAGGAGCAGCCGTGACTAGAACCAGTGCCCATAAGGGACTCTGGTGCTGCAGACAGAGGATTAACCTACTGCGCCACAGCACTGGCCCCACAGTGGAAATTTTGGTTGTGTTTTCATGAGCTAGGGAAAAGTCTGTTGAAATGCCTAAATGTGACAAGATGATTCTCCACTGTCCATTTACTTCCTCCTCCCATTTTTCTCTATGAAATTTAAATATTTTCTCTATGTAATTTATGTTACTTTGATTAATTATTATAATTTTAACATGTGGTTTGGCAATAATGAAAAAGAAATACAACTGTTGTATGTGCTTTTGTTTTTGAAAAACAAAGAGAGTAGTTTTGTCTTAAAGCAGTGTTTTTCAAACTTGCTGGGTCTCAGGATCTCTTTACACTCCAGAAACTTATTTGAGGACACCAAAGAGCTTTGGTTTCAATGAGTGAGAGTTACCAATATGTATTGTATTTGAAATTAAAATTGAGAAATTTAAAAAATACTGATACATTGGAAAATAGCAATGATGAATCAATTCCATTTTAATATCATACATATTTTGTGAAAAAAAAATTTTAATATCTTGTAATTCTCTCTCTCTTTTTTAAAGATTTCATATTTATTTGAGAGGCACAGTTACAGAGAGAGAGAGAGAGACAGAGAGACAGAGAGACAGAGAGAAAGGTCTTCCATCCATTGGTTTACTCCCCAAATGGCTGCAGTGATCAGAGCTGGGGCAACTGGAAGCCAGGAGTCAGAAGCTTCCTCCAGGTCTCCCTCCCACGTGGGCCATCTTCCACTGCTCTCCCAGACCATAGTCAGAGAGCTAGATCAGAAGAGGAGCAGTCGGACATGACCTGGCACCCATATGGGATGCCAGCGCCAGAGACAGAAGCTTAGCCTGCAATGCCACAGCACTGGCCCCAAAAAATTTGTTTTCAAAAATAAAAAAATATTTCATGAGAAAGTGGCATTAACATTTTTGCAAGTCTTTCTAATGCTCAGATTAATAGGGGAGGGCTGGCTGTTCATCTCTTTCTGCACATATCATGATACCTCTCGTCAGGCAGCTTCTGGAAGACTCCACATGTACTTCCTAGAATAAGGATGAAAAGGCAACCCTAAAGTGTCACTCTGTTCTGGAATGAGAAGGGAAAACATGAAGGACAGAACTTGGAAAGTAAATTTTATTTGCTTTCGTTTAGAATACTTGAGTCTGAAAAAAAGCTATAAAAAGCACTGCAGTTTGGCAAAGTTTTCTCAGCTTTGATGGCTTGCTTCCTTGGTTTACTGATTAATGCCTCTGACTACAATCGGAGAGGATTTTTTTTTTTAAATGTCTGTGGAATCTGCCTAGCAAGCAGAGATTTTACGTCTCACAGAATTACTGTCACTGCTTTATGTTGACTTGATTAATGTCCTTGATTATTTAAGGAAAAAAAAAAACCACAAAGAGCTCTCATTTATAAAAAGAGCTAAATTCTTTACAATGGTATACTTTTCTATGTTTATTTCTCTGGGAGACATGAAAAGACAGCCCTGGGCCTAAGTCATCAAAGGAGATCAAGGTCATGCTTCCTGGGTGGCCCTGCTTCTGGCAGGAAAAGCTCCTAACCCCCCCGTCCTCCTCTCGTCCCTTGCAATTGTGAGGCCCAGCCCGTTCTGTGTCAAAAAAAAAAAAAAAAAAAAAAAAAAAAAGGAAATTTTAGGAGGTGTTTTACTACTAAAATTCTCTTTGCGACTTCCCAAAGAGGTCCTATAAAACCATAAAGATTCATGTCTTCACCCTATTGAGAAGACGATATAAATAATTGTGTTTGATGTGTTACCATTTTAAGAGTTGCATGGCAAAAGTTGTCAGAGCCGAAGAGATGCTCCACCGTCCCTAGGTTAAGTCAGCACTACTGAAATGTCATTATACATCATTAATGCAAACACTTCAGAAACTGGGTACATTATGAAAAGTCTCTGGAGATTTGCCAGTGCCCATACTGTCTGTAATATATTTTTCTTTCAGGGAAAATACTGCTCAAAACTCTTAAGAGTGTTATGTAGGGTATCCTAATAGAGAATTCCACTTTCACCCACTCTGATATTGGTGACAGTGACAAGTTAACCATTATCTCACTCAGTCTCCACAATCTACAGATAACTTTTGCACTACTCTGATGCTTGCCTAAAGGCTCAGAGCACGTGACTTCCGTAACACAGCTTCAGAGTGTCCTGGACAATTATGGCATGTACTAGGTATTTTAAAATAATCAACATTTCAAAGAATAGACTCTTTGGTATCGAACATTGAGCTGACACTGCTTAGGTGATTTTAAAGCTGTGCCAGTAGATTAAGAATTTCCTTGGATTTCTGGACTCTTTTTAGTCTAGATGCAGATGGCTTCATGAATATGGACTACTATACCAAGAAACAACAGAAAAAGAACTAATTAAAGTTCATTCACAGGACTGAATAACAGATAAGGGAAATTTTATTAAGGTTATTTGTCTGGAATATTGTTGTTTTTGTTAATGTTCTATTTTCTGTATACATGAGGTTGGCTTTTCTCTCTTAAAGGTATCTCTAACATATAATTTAGTAAATTCTGCTTTTATAAGCTAAATCAAAACTTTGGACAGGCACCCCCAATTCTCACTGATTGCCCAGAATTCCAAAATGTTACATAGTCCTCTTAGTTTTCACGGCAATGTACCTAACTGCACAGGTTCCGTGAAAATCAATTTACAAGATATAACTGGACAAAAAACAATTATACAACCAAGACCTTTCCTGAAGTACCATATTTAAGAATGATGCTCCCTGAATCAGACTTGACTAGCTACTTTATGAACTCATGGGGCCGAGACCTGCATTGCTCTTCCAGGAAACTGGCCTGGTAACCTAGCTTGTATGATCCTGGTCTTACAGTACCAGAACCTAGCAAAGACTGAAAACCTCAAGAAATTCAATCAAGGTTATAAGTACTGTAGGTGAAACATGAAGGAGACTTTCTTGAGATTAGTTCCCTAGATATGGGATGACAAATAAGAGAGGACTTGAAAAGTCCAATTAAGTTTTCCAGGCAGAAGTTAATTTTGTGGCTTTAACAGTTCTTGAATACTGTGTGGCTCTAGATACACAAACTCAAGGAGGCCTACAAGGCTGGGGACAGTGCCGTGGTGTAGCAGGTAAAGTTGCTGCCTACAGTGCCAGCATCCCATATGGGTGCCAGTTCAATTCCCAGCTGCTCCGATCCAGCTCTCTGCTAAGGCCTGGGAAAGCAGTAGAAGATAGCCCAAGACCTTGGGCCCCTGCACCCGCGTGGGAGACCAGGAAGAAGCTTGTGGCTCCTGGTTTGGGATCAGCGTAGCTCCAGCCATCGCAGCCATCTGGGGAGTGAACCAGCAGGTGGAAGACCTCTCTCTATCTGCCTCTGCCTCTCTGTAACTCTGCCTTCCAGATAAATAAATAAATAAATAAATAATTCTTTTAAAAAAATAATCTTTGAGGTTATCATTATTATGGGCTGGGGATGGGGGAGAACTGGCAAGTAGACAGTAGGAGAGTTGAAATGGGCAAAAAGAGCTAACTGAGTATCTTTGTAATGGAGTATTTGGTGCTGCCTAGCACAGCTTCCTGTGTTATCTGACTCCAGAGGGGTCTGTAACTCTCACTATCTTTAACAGAGCCATTTCACAACCCTGGATCTTACAGAACATTGATATTACTGTAAACAAAGCTTGTTCAGTGAAGAAACCTTCTCACTCCTTCCCATGGAAAAAGTCAGCACTGCATTCATTGACAAATGCATTCTAAGATTCTCCTCTGCTTAGGTTCATTTTTACTCTGGATATTCCTTCAGAATGGCTGTAACATCTTACTCAGTGCCTTATTAATTAGTGACTAAAAAAAATCTTTGACATGAATTTATTTTTTAAAGCCATTTTTTTTCTCACTACCTCTCCTGGTTATTACTTTTAGAAGTGGTACAGAGTATCATCATTCTGACACTTATGGGAAAGAAGAAACATCTGTCTAGTCAAACAGACTCCTATCTCTGTGATTTGAACTGCATTTCACTTGATAGGGTGCCCTGATACATGTCAATGATCTTGTAAAATCAAAATAACCTGCAGAAGGAACTGCCTTGCCACCTACCGCTGGCAACAACATTCAGCAACAAATAGATAATTTATGGGATTCCAGTACTCCAGTGAATTATCCCAACACAGACAAGTGGAACAGTGAGGGACCCCAAGCTTTATAATAAAGCTGTTCAGGGAATTCTTGACTTAAAGATATAAAATATAACTACTTTGTAGTTAAAAATTAGGTGAGGGAGCATCCCCAGGTTCATAGATTAAGGATTATAAAGAATAAAAAGATAGCTTCTTATATTCATGTTTCATCTGACATCACTAGGAAATGCCTGATGTGAGAAAGCATTCCAAAACTGGCTGCTATTTCATGGATGACTACTCCATGATACACTGCAAATGCTCTGATGAGTGCACAAACCCACACTTTCACAACCAGGATCTGAGATCTATAAATACTACACTTAGTGGGATGACCTCATTTGCTTTCTCACCAGTCTTAGAAGCAACACATGTCTGATCAGGCCCAGCTATATAATTAGAGAGGACCAGTGCAGAATGAAAATAAAGGCTCTTTGTTAAAAATGCATTAAGAATTATAAGATGGTGACAGCAGAGCATTAAACTGAACGTCACATCCTATTAAGAATGGGGCCTTGTGTGACTGCCTAAGTCACACACTCATGATGAAGTCCCTGTGTCTGATCCTTAAGGGAGAAGGGCAGAGATGCCTGTTCTCTTTGTAGAAGCAGAGTCTCAGACAGGCTAACATCTGCCCAAAGGTCACCGTGGACCCCCTTCCATCTCCCATGGGTAGGGGGACTGATATGTATAGCATCTTTCATTTCTTTAATGAAAAGTCTACATTATGTGGTAAAAATCTAGCTATGGATCTACCACCAGATACCTCACTCTCCCATAGACTGAAGTCTTCCAAACGTTCAAAGAAAAGGCTCATGGGCAAGTCACACATGTGAGGTCTCCTGGATAATGATACCTGGGGTCACCCTATGCCTAAAGGACCCAAAAAGCTCTCCCTCCTAGCCCTCCGAGATCCTTGGGCCACAGCCAGTATGAATCTGAACTGAGGAACCCCTGTCTAAGGGTACCTATTTTAGCACCAGGGACATTCTGCTATTTAGTGGTGAGGGCAGAAGTACAGACTGGGCCCTGAGCCTCTGTGCACCTGCATTTCCTCAAGTCAGTGTTTTTTAGTTCATGTCGTACTCTGTTCTGAGTAAACTCCTAATCCTGAGGATGATGAGACTTTCACCCCCTAAGATCCAAATCGACACCAGCTTTCCTCCTGAGGCCTCCCACTGTCCTGTGAACTTGGCAAACCCATCTTCACACTTCCCTCCAGTACAGCTCCATTAAGGCAGTGACTACTTTCCTACTTCTGTGCTTCCAAACGGGCTAATACAAAGTCTGGTTTGTAGCTGGAGTTCAGCAAACATTTGCTGAATGACTTATGAATAGAGGCATTAGACATATGTGCGATATTTCCACAGGAAATGCTACGACCAGAAATAGTAGTCATATCCAAAAGTATGATTTTGACCTATAGATTTTATTAGCAATAATTTTAACTGCCATTTATTAGGCCTTTATTCTTGGGCTGATGCATTACAACACACACATATCTATATATATTTAAATTTACCTTTTTTAAAAAAATTATTACTTATCTTCATTTTATTGAAGGGCAGAGAGACGGGTGGAGAGAAATCCCCCAACAGCTGGTTACTCCCTAAACGCTCATAACAACCTGTGCTGGGACAGGCCAAAGCCAGTAGGAACTCCACCTGAATCTCCTACGTGGATGACAGGGACTGTGGTGAGACAGTCGAAGGGGCAGGAATTACCTGGCAGCATAAGTCACAACTTGAGTGCTAGTCATTGGAATCGTGGTTTGCATTCTCTTTCTCTCCACTTCTGTGGGTGACGTAAACTCGACCTGACCTGGATGTGTGTTCCCCGATCATGGAGTTAAACATGAGAGAGGCAAGCTTCTGGTGAGCTGAGGGGGTCTGGTCTGCGCAGCCCTACCAGCCACGAGAGGCCCCAGACAAGGGGGCTGTTCTCTGCTGAGAGAAACAGGGCTTCAAAGCTGCTTCTCCAACCGTAAACTCTAAACTAAAATAATTACTTGTCATGGGCCCTCTAAAACATAATTAGTTGATATCCAATAATCCCAAACTGGAGATTTAACTACTTAGGAGAGTTCTGGGGAGCCAGTGTTCCAGGCAGGAAAAGCTAACACTGATAAAAACCCATTTATTCACAGAAGCGTAACTGACATTGTGTTAATGGTTGCTAGGGTCACTCAATATCATTTTGAAATCTTTACCAGTAACAACCAAGCAGATTAGCTCAGCATTGTAAAGCAAATATAACACTCCTGTCTAAGAAAGGACAGGCTCTGCCCCCAGGGATGGTGGCAGCACTTGGAAGGGCAGCTCAGGGCGGTCTGAGAGTCACCTGCAGACAGTTGCCTGGGTGGCTGTGTCACAACACAGATTCCCATGGCTCCAGACCAGCAACCAGAATCTTAGAAGACAGGGCTCAGGAATCCACTTTCAAACAACTCCTCAGTGATTCTTTGTGCAAAGCTGAGTTTGAGAACTGCTTCGAGGACACACCAGGCTTTCCCTGTGCTTGCTCTCCGCTCTCAAAGCCCATTCCTCAAGGAAGAACAGCCTGATGGGAATGGACACAGGCACTCGCTAAACAGCTGCCGACGAACAGCGTGCACTGGGTGAGGGTACTGTCTGTCCCTCCGCCTCAAGAAGCCACACTTGAGCTCAGTGACCGAAACTGTATTTATAAGCTCTTTCTTCTTTTGCTCTGAAATTTTTTACTCTTCTCTTCTGCCTGGTTCTAATTTTTACCTTTTATTTATTTGTTGCCATTATTTTATTTTATAGTTTCTGTACACACTCTCAAATTCTCTGAGGAATAAAATGTGTAAGTATGTAAGCATACGTTTGCACAGATATAAATCCAAGTGGCTGTATCTATGTTCCTGCCACATCCCACCCCAGGCTAAGATCCTGCCTGGGATCTGGGCCGCACTCCATGTTCCAACATTTAGACCAGTCTTTTCTCACAGTTCTCTGTAAAAGCAGCCTTACTTGTGTCCTTGGAGCTCGATGGCTGTTCCTTTTCTTCCTCCAATGTCCCACATGATGACAGAGTGATCCGAACTGCCTGAGAACAACACTCGCTGGACTGGGTCCCAACAGAGGGCGGTCACCCCACCTGACAGAACACATACACCGGACGTTAGTCACGAAGTCACAAGGTTTCTCATCAAAGAAATGAGAACGCAAAGGAGTTAGGATCTGGTTCAGTCCCTGGCACACAGAGATTTCTGCTGAAAGAACAAATGAGTCGGTCCCTCAAGAGAAAAATATTGGCTCCAACAATGAAAACCCCATCCTTATGAATTCTCTCCCCAACTTAAGGTACTATAAAATCAACAACTATAAAGAATGGAGGGAAATGAAAGACAATTAAATTACCTTCAAAAAATAGACACAATTCTAAGAAGAGTAGAAAATATCGAATTGTCTGTGGAAATATCAACCACATTTTCTTAACTATTACCTATCGCCTACTCTGACAATAACAGATCAGAAGTAAATGGGATTTAAAAATGCTCAATTAGACTCTTCTTCCTCTTTTAACTTGGTACATAATAATTGTACATATTCATGGGGTACAATGCGATGTTTCAATACAAGTATATATTGTACAATAATCAAATCATGGTAATTAGCATATTCATCTCTTCAAACATTTAACTTTCTTGATGGTAGGAACATTAAAAGATCCTCTTTGTAAAAGCTATTTTGAGATACAATACCATATTGCTAACTATAGTCACCCCACTGTGCAATGGATTACCAGAACCTGTTATTCCCTTCTAGCTGTGGCTTTGTTATTCACTGACAAAGCATTTGCAGTGCTCTCCCCTCCCCGGTCTCTGGTAACCACTGTTCTATTCACTACTTTAATGAGATCACCTTTTTAAGCGTTCACATGAGTGAGATCATATGGTATCTGTTTTTCTGTATCTGCCTTACTTCACTTAACATAATGTCCTCCAGGTCACACTTGCTGTTACAAGTGACAGGATCTCATCCTTTTTAAAGGCCAAATAGTATTTCACTGCAAATACACCCCCACCACAACCACACACAGACCTCACATCTTTTTTTAGTCATTCATCCATTTTTGGAAAATACATAGGCTGATTCCATATCTTGGCTATTAACAACAGTGCAGTAATAAACACTGGGGGTGCAGGTATCTCTCCAACATATTGATTTAATTTCCTTTGGATATCTAGCAGTGACACTGCTGGTGCATATGGTAGTCTTTTCTTAAGGAGAACCTCCATGCTGTTTTCCATGATGGCTATGCTAATTTATGTTCCTATGAACAGTGTGTAAAGGGTCCCTTTGCTGCACATCCTCACCAGCACTTTTGTTTTTCTTTTTGGTAACAGCCAGTCTATCTGGACTAAGATGAATCTCACTGTGGTTTTGACTTACATTCCCCTGATTAATGATGTTGAGCATTTTAAAATATAAAATATAAAATGTTGACCATCCATATGTTGTCTTTTGAGAAATGTCTATTACAAATTTGTTATTCTTGAACATCAATTGTAATTGGGCTACAATATTGGAATTTAAAATTATGTCTTCTTTTTGGGGATTCTGATTTACAGATTCCACGCAAATAACTTATATATCTTTTAATTGCCAGTGTCCTCATCTGTAAAATGGAGATGGTGAGCCCTGATCACACTGACTGTGGCTAATAATGATAACATCAACCTAGCTTACACCTACTTCATAGGATGGTAGTGAGAATTAGGTCGCAACTACACTGGACCACTCTGTAAACTTCAAGGTGTAGTACACATATTATTGGGATTATTCTAGTGGTGTGGCTACAAAACATCATGACAGATTATCTTCGATTATAGTCACCTTCTAAATCAAACTTCTTGTGTAATGAGAACAGAAGTAATTTTTTCCATGTAAGGTAAACCCAAAGCCTACTCATACTTATGAATGTCAGAAATATTTATGTTTTACATTAGTGAAAAAATACTGTATTCTGAAAAGAACATAAAATAGCTTTCTATTTGTTGGGATCTGACATTTTTCTTATTTAGATCATCAATTTGTTCTAATGAAGTGCTATACTGTAAATGTGGTTAGTAAAGTTTCTCGCATAAGTGTCTCAGAAGATTTGTTGTTTTAAGATCAAAAAGAACAGCAACAACAAAATCCCCATTCTCTCGATTCTGCTTGTTAGTTTTTTCCTATATCTTCCCATACCCATACCATTCTGCTGCATATACTCCTGTCCATGGAAGAATAAAATCACTTGCTGCATTGCTTCTGTGACCAACCACCCATAGCAGCTCCTGGTCTTCTCCTCCCCCTTCCAAAACCAACTACCCCACAACAGCAACCAACCATGCACAGTGCTGGGTGCACATAGGCTGCAGCGCTGTCTGTCAAATGCATGTGATCTTAGCCAAAAGGCCAAAAAGTGATGTCTGTCAAATGAATGAAGGAGAAGCTGCATGAAAAAACAGAAATCCTTTTTTCCCCTCCAACTTCACATAAATTCTTGTTTAAATGCCACCTCCCTAGAGACACTTTCCTCGTCTACTCTCATGTCTTCCTTGTATTCTGTGTGTTTTAAAAAAGCTGATTGTCAGGGCCAGCACTATGGTATAGTGGGTCAAACTGCCATCTGCAGTGCTGGCATTCCATATGGGCACTGGTTGGAGTCCTGGCTGCTCCACTTACAATCCAGCTCCCTGCTAATGTACCTGAGAGAACAGCAGAGGATGGCCCAAGTCCTTACGCCCCTGCACCCATGTGAGAGACCCAGAAGAAGCTCCTGGCTACTGGCTTCAGACTGGCCCAGCTCTGGCTGTTGTGACCATTTGGGGAGAGAACCAGGGAATAGAAGATTCTCTCTCTCTCTCTCTCTCTCTCTCTCTCTCTCTCTCCCTCCCTTCCTCCCTCCCTCCCTCCCTCCCTCCCTCCCTCTCCTCTTTCTCTGTAATTCTGACTTTCAAATAAATAAATAAATCTTTAAAAAAATTTACTGTCTACTGCCCCAATCCAGTAGAATTTAAGATCTGGGAGGGGAGGAGCTTTTTTTTTTTTTTTTTATTTGACAGGTAGAGTCATAGACAGTGAGAGAGAGACAGAGAGAAAGGTCTTCCTTCCATTGGTTCACTCCCCAAATGGCTGCCATGGCCTGTGCTGCACCAATCTGAAGCCAGGAGCCAGGTGCTTCTTCCTGGTCTCCCATGCGGATGCAGGAGCCCAAACACTTGGGCCATCCTCCACTGCCCTCCCAGGCCACAGCAGAGAGCTGGACTGGAAGAGGAGCAACCGGGACTAGAACCCAGCACCCATATGGGATGCCGGTGCCGCAGGCGGAGGATTAACCAAGTGAGCCGCGGTGCTGGTGCTGGGGAAGAGCTTTTCTCCCTCTTCAAGGTATAGCTCAGGGGCTGGCTCCTCCAGGAAGCCCTCCCCAACACTTTCAGTCAAGGGAACGTTTGGGCCTCCGTGCAGGTCTCTGTTGTTCAACTGACTCTGCTAAACTGAACTTTGTGGGATTGCAAATATGTCTCCATCCCCAAGGTAGACTTAGGTTCTGTATCTGCGTATCTGAGCACTGCGCAGGGTGCCTGGTACACAGAAAGTTCTCCATAAAAACTTTCAACGGGTCTGATGAACCAAATGGCAGAGAGGAAGGGGGGCAATAAACAAGAGGTGTTCAGGAGAGCCCTTGGGGTAGGGCTGGTGAGAAGTTAATACAAGGCTGGCAATGCTGAGGGGCACTAAGAAGCGGAGGGGACAGTTACTGACACGAACAACCTGGTGCTTCTGTGAGGGTTTTCTTCCTGCACCTCTCTGTAGATGGGGCTCCTGATGAACAAGCATTCTAACAATCAGGTGGTGGGGAAGTCAATGGCCTGCAGCAGTACAGATCCCTGCACCTTGTGCCCCAACCCACACTGAGGGCAAGCTAGGGGCTACAAGGGTGTGGTTTCCAGTGTTCGTGGTATTTTCAGTGACAAAAACCATTTCTTCCATTACATTTACTCCATTTCAGATTAACCCATCTTTCTGTTCCTCTTCAAGGTTTCATTTTATGCTTCTTCCTGCCCTTGACTTCCACAATATGACCTACAGGACACTTTTTAAATTAAAATGATTTTGTTCTTAGAGATTACCTTTAACGGGTACAGAGCTGGGATGATGAAAAAAGTTCAGGAAATGGATAGTGGTGAGGTTGCACAATATCGCAACTGTACACTTAAAGATGATGAAATGGCAAACTTCATGCTATGTATTTTTTTTATCAAAATAGTCATCACCAAAATATTTTTAAAATAAAAGTTTGATAATTATAAAATGTACCTATGCTACAATATATATCATAAATGTAATTGTTGGAGGCTGAGTAATATCCTTTCATATGTATTGTCTTATTTCACCTATGGTTAGATTTTTCTTAACTTTTAAGTATTACATAATATGCTAAGAAGAACATTTTCATATATTCACATTTCTGACTAGTGGAACTGGATCAGAGTCTAAACGTTTTAAAAAATTTAAAAAAATAAAAAATTTAATACATGTCAAAATGTGTAATTTTTAAAAAGATAGTTACAACATACCTTGTAACATGGAGTACTGCAAAGTCAGTGTTGGAAACGGCTGGTTCTGCCTGTACCAGCGTGTGGCATGGTGCCTCACAAACAGTGTGACATCACACCCTGTAGGGTCAGCTGTATATAAGGAATATGTGGCTAAAGAAGTGCCTCAGTCAGTCCTCAGACCATGGAGCCTCTTGAATAAAATATCTGACCTTTGGGTTACTGCATTTTGTTCTAGGCTGAAGTGATGCTTAATGTGTAAAACTAAATGTGCTCCTTCTCCAGGCTATAGTCTTCTTCGTGAGATCCACAAATGTCTAGATGGCTTCTCCTTGCCACCACCCCAGGGATGTCTCCTAGACACATTCAGTTCGAATGCTGTGACAGTCTCTCCCAATCCTGCCCTGACTCCAGCATTCCTGGTCAGGAAATGGCATCACGGTCTCCCTAAACGCTCCAAACGGAAGCTGGGAGCCATTATTATCCCAATCAGTTGCCAAATGCAGCTGACCTCTAATCTCCAAAATCTCCGGAAAGATCTCAGATCCTC